TACTTGGAGGTTCATGGGTACTTATAAGTAGGCTTATAAGTAGAGTAACTATACTTATAACACCCCACTTATAACTGCCCATGAACCTCCAAGTACTCTTAGATTGAGGAGGACGCTTTGCAGATTGATTTGCTAGAGTTAGGGGTTTTGGTTTAGGGCCCCTAGGCCTAAACCCCTTCGAGCAAGGAATATACTTTAGCTAGCATGCTGACACACAGAATGCAAAGAGCTGTACCTCACCCAAATCTCCAACTTTGACTTCTGATCCCTATATATAGGCTCCTCATCCTCCACATCGGGCTTAACCCTCGAGCCCCAAACTGCAAATCTAGTCCCGGAGCCCCAAACTGCAAATCCTAAAGCTTAAACCATCAACCCTGAGCCGCAACAGCCAAAACCCCCAAAGCATGAAGCTGAACCGGCCTGCGCGCTACCTTCCACAAACGAACCTGTGTAGGACCCTTACAGAACCCTTTACAAAACCTTTTGAAGACCCCCTCATAGAGTTCTTTGAAGAACGGCTTAATAAACCTGAAGAACCTTGAAATTCCTAAAGAACCCGGCGAAGAACCCTGCGGAGAACCCCGTTAAAGAACCCCAAAACTCTGAAGCCATGCAGCCCATCGGATGCGGCAAGCCCTGGGAGGCGACTCCACATATGCGTGGGTGTAACATATATATATATATATATATATATATATATATATATATATACAGGGTATAATCATCATAAACAAAGTAGAATAAGAAGAACAATCAGAAGTATAACCGAAGTCTTGCTAAAGGTAATAGGGCTTAGCAGCTTTCCGCAGAAGTACACGTGTTTATTGGAAACACAGGGCAATATACCCTGAATTTTACCCTATAACCCTGAACTTTAAGTCCCAAACCCTAAATCCACAACCGGAGGGCTCCGGGTTAAAGTGGCGGCCGGCCTTATAAGGCTGTTTGGGCTGGAGAACATGGAATGCAGGATGTCTTGCAGTTGAAATGCTGGACGGGCATTTGGGCTCCTGGTTCTGGACAGAAGGGTTCATGACTTCGGTTTAGGGTCTAGGGTTGAGAGCAAATGCATAAGATGATGCTCCTCAGGCATGCGGGTGCGTTTCCAAACGACGAAAGGCCGTCAAGAGTGCAGGCAACAGGCCCGAATAGAAAAGGAGCGGACACTCCTCTAAACTGAATCTGTGAATCGTCGAAGCCTGAAGCTTCCAAAAGAATTGAACGGTTTGGACCATGTATGCTAGTCCCAAGCCTCATAAACCTCAAAAACACGAATTCCCATGATGTAGAAGCCCATGCACTCTGGAATCACATGTCCCTCAGCTGCATGAGCCCCTAATCTCTACGTATAGTCTGCCCAGGTAATTCTAAAAAAAGATGCAGCAGTGAAACCAATCAATGGAACTACCATGCAGACTACAAGCCCAAAACCCTGAACTGTGTAAGCACCCCAATTGAACGCTTAAAGGGGGACCCCAAACTACCCTTAGAGGACTCCTTAAAGGAGGGGCCCTTAAATCCACCCCTTAAAGGTTCCCTTAAAGGAACCCTTACCGGATCCTTTACAGGATCCTTTAAGGGTTCCTTTAAGGGATCCTTGAAAGGAAACCCCAAGCGATGCCCTGCCGAGGTCCAAGCAAATCGCTGGAGTTGTTGAAAGTCTTGCCGAAAAAGAGCAGGAGAAAGCCTGCAGAAGTTAAGTAGGGCTAAGGATTTATGGGATTTAGGGCAGGGTTTAGCAGAAGTTAAGTGGGGTTAAGGGTTTGTCGGGTTCGGGGTAGTATAGGGTTTTGGGTTTACGGCTTAAGATTATAGTAATAGGGTCTGGGGTAGAATTTAGGGCGTAGGCTGCAGCGTTTTGGGCATTAGTCGCGGGGCTCAGACTTGCCTTGATGCATGTTTCGCCACAGCTGTTGTTGCGGGGCTTGTGCTAATACACCCAAAGGGTCCATGTACCCAAATGGTATATACGTTGGCCTTACAATACTCCCTACATAGGTACATTGGGCCCAAAGTATATACTATCTGGGTACATGGACCCTTAGACCCTAAACTCTATAGAACCCTTATGGTACCCCTATAGGTACCCTTAAAGGATCCCTTAATAAGGAAACCTATTTGGGTACATGGACGCTTAGGGATGCGGTTCGGACTGAGGGCTTAGGGTCTACTTTCTGAGTTTGAGGGTTCTAGGGTTTTTAGGGTTTTATGGTATTGGGGCTTTAGGGTTTAGGGCAGTAGAGATCTGCTGGTTGCTAGGTTAGCTGTTTACGTTTTGGGTTCGTTTAGGGTTAAGGGTTTAGGGGTTTAGGGTTCAGGGTTTAGGGCTTAGGGTTCATAACCTTGGGCCTCAGCTCTCAAACTCGACATTCAGGTTTTAGTTCTTCCTCTGGTGCAGTAGTGGGAACTGCTATGTGGACAACAACAACAAAGACTGCTACTTCAACATGACGGCGACGACGGCTTCCACTACTGCTAGTGCCACTGCTGCGACAGGACTAGGACTACACTGAATCCCAAATGCCATTTTCAGTAAAGGTGCAAAGTCCCAGAAGTGTCCCCCTGGCCAGAGACAGCAAGAAATCACAGAGCCACACCAGTAGCGGCCACCAGTACCTGATGCTCACGGACTCTGCATCCGGGAGTTAGGGGTTCAGGTTTTAGGAGATACGATATGAAGCATCCCAAGCTAACGCAAATCCTCTATAGGGTCCTTGCGTGTCGGAATGGTCGAGCTGGTGACAACAAGGATTAGTACAGGGGCCTGAATAATCACCAATAGTACTATTTGGGGGTTCCTTATTATAATTCTGGTATAGTCGGCCCCAAGACCCTATTTTCATTACTTGTATTGAGGCCCCTTTATTAATTTGGGCCGGGCTTGTGATCTGGAAGTTCGGGCTTCCTCAATTCGGGGCTTGGTCGATTTGGGGACTAGGGCCTAGGTTTTTATGTTTCGGATACGAGCGCATCACTCGCCCCGACGAACCTGTCTTAGGCACCGGTGTCAGGAAGGCAATCGTAACCGAGAAACCCGACAACAGAAAACACAACAACATTCAGGTTCCCCCAGCCCTCAACTTCACAAACGCTGAACCCTAAACCATTATAGATTTGTACACTGGTCGGCTGCCCGAAACACTTAAAAAAAAGGAAGTCGGCAGCGCTTACAGGTTTGAGGTGTAGACCTTCGAATACTCTAGCCCTAACCAGCCAAGACAAGCCCTTAGAAACCAAAAGGTTCAGGGTTTTGGTTGTCGCAACTTCCAGGCAGCCAAGAAGCAAGACCGTCAGCTTCTTCCGCCTTGTTTCAGCTTTCAGCTTAGGGGTTCGCCTTGAACCCTACACCCCAAACCGCTAGACCCTAGAAAACCACCCTTGCGGAGCTCCTTATTATGAATTCCTGAAAATGAAACGAAAAGGGTAGGTTCTTCAGGGTCCACGTGAACCCTGAACGTCTAGTATTCGATCATTGGGCTCCAGAAAGCTGTGCAGCTGGCTCTATGTTAGGTCGTGAACACGAAACCTTGCTTGGAACCTCGTGATCGCTGCTCACCCTTTGGGCGCTCAAACGCAGGACTCCAACGGTCGAAATCCAAGAGAGAAGAATATGTGGATTTCTATCGGAAGCGGAAAGATTTAAGTGAGGATTGACCTAGTGTCTTCAGCTGGGCAGCTTGCAACAAACACACAAAGACGCCTTAACATCAGGCTTCTTGAAGCGAAGGGGTGGACGCCTGACACAAAGACGTCCTTTTTTGCGCCACATGCAGGAACTGCCAGTCAGCTCGCCACTTCTGCGCCTCTTGTATGATCTTGCACTCTGTCCTCGTATCTCTTGGTGAAATCGGCATCTGTCAACATCATCGCAGACCCAAACACAGAAAGCTTGCCGCACGCCTGGAGAACCTGGGAGCGCCAAACCCAGCGCTCACGTCTTCGGCCAAGAATGTACGGACAGTTGACGAGGGAATGCCGAGTCTTCTCAGACGAGAACCACTCCAAAAGCAAGCGCCCCTTCGGCCTTAGATTTTTCTCCAGGCTGTAGCCTAAAATATTGGGAAAGCTAGAGATCACTTTGGCAACCTCAACCTTCGTCAGCCCCAGATCTCGCAGCCACTGTACTGTTGGCTTCAAGTTCTCTTTGATACTGAGCCACAAAACCGGCGCAAAGCGAGCCGTGACTTTGGTAACATCAGCCTTGGTCAAACCCAGATCTCGCAGCCACTGCACCGTGGGCTTCAAGTTCTCTTCAGTGCTGCATCCTAGAACGCTCGGCTGCCGTGCAATCACTTTGGCAACCTCGACTTTCTTCAGGCCAAGGTCTCGCAGCCATTGGACTGTGGGCTGCAAGTTCTCGTCGATGCTGTACCCTAAAACGCTCGGATATCGTGCAATCACTTTGGCAACATCGATTTTCGACAGCCCCAAATCTCGCAGCCACTGGACTGTCGGCTTCAAGTTCTCTTCGATGCTGTACCCTAAAAATCTCGGATATCGTGCAATCACTTTGGCGACCTCGACTTTCGTCAGCCCCAAATCTCGCAGCAACTGGACCGTAGGTTTCAAGTTCTCTTCGATGCTGTATCCCAAAACATTCGGATGTCGTGCAATCGCTTTGGCAACCTCGACTTTCGTCAGCCCGGAATCTCGCAGCCACTGGACCGTGGGTTTCAAGTTCTGCTCGATGCTGCATCCCAACACTTGCGCGAATCGGGCAATCACTCTGGCAACCTCGACTTTCGTCAGCCCCAAATCTCGCAGCAACTGGACCGTAGGTTTCAAGTTCTCTTCGATGCTGTATCCCAAAACACTCGGATGTCGCGCAATCACTTTGGCAACCTCGACTTGCTTCAAGCCCAAATCTCGCAGCCACTGGACTGTGGGCTTCAAGTTCTCTTCGATGCTGTATCCCAACATTTGCGGAAATCGAGCAATCACTTTGGCAACCTCGACTTTCGTTAGCCCCAAATCTCGCAGCCACTGGGCTGTCGGCTTCAAGTTCTCTGCGATGCTGCATCCCAAAAACTCGGATGTCGTGCAATCACTTTGGCAACCTCGACTCTCTTCAGGCCTAAATCTCGCACCCACTGCACCGTGGGCTTCAAGTTCTCTTCGAGGCTGCATCCCAAAAAACTCGGATGTCGTGCAATCACTTTGGCAACCTCGACTTTCGTCAGCCCCAAATCTCGCAGCCACTGGGCTGTCGGCTTCAAGTTCTCTTCAATGCTGTATCCCAAAACACTCGGATGTCGTGCAATCACTTTGGCAACCTCGACTTTCTTCAGGCCTAAATCTCGCACCCACTGCACCGTGGGCTTCAAGTTCTCTTCGAGGCTGCATCCCAAAAAACTCGGATGTCGTGCAATCACTTTGGCAACCTCGACTTTCGTCAGCCCCAAATCTCGCAGCCACTGGGCTGTCGGCTTCAAGTTCTCTTCAATGCTGTATCCCAAAACACTCGGATGTCGTGCAATCACTTTGGCAACCTCGACTTTCTTCAGGCCTAAATCTCGCACCCACTGCACCGTGGGCTTCAAGTTCTCTTCGAGGCTGCATCCCAAAAAACTCGGATGTCGTGCAATCACTTTGGCAACCTCGACTGTCTTCAGGCCTAAATCTCGCACCCACTGCACCGTGGGCTTCAAGTTCTTTTCGATGCTGCATCCCAACACTTGCGGAAATCGAGCAATCACTTTGGCAACCTCGACTTTCGTCAGCCCCAAATCTCGCAGCCACTGCACCGCGGGCTTCAAGTTCTGTGCGACCCTGCATCCCAATACTTGCGGAAAGCGAACAAGCAAAGTCGCAACTTGAGACTTCTTCAGGCCCCACACTTCCAACTGTCGCATCATTGGCAGGAGTTGGTCGTCGATGTCGTAGCGTGACAGAGCAGGGCATTGTCCTACAAGTTCCTCTGCTTCTGAAATGGACACATCTAGCTGCATCTTCAGAACATGAAGCAGATGTGCTGGGTCGAAATCACGCTCACGCTCCGCAGCTACTGTCTCTGTGAACTCAACTGCCGCTTGCCAGGAGCCCCCAGCAGGATCCTCAACGAATTTCTGCAGACTTGCTCTTCGATCAGGATGCATTACTGCTCCCAGTTGTTTCAACAAGAACTCAGCCACTTGAAGCAGTGCTCTAGCCAAGGATGAGTCGTCGCCAGGCTTCCACGCGTCTACCACAACTTCCCCAATCTCGCACGAAAGCTCCAGTCCACGATCGGCATGGGCTATGCGCAACACGTACGAACCGGCAGGTACCAAATCCAGTAGGGCTGTGTTCTTACGACTGTCAGCTGTAATGCCTGCGGGCTTAAGGTGGCGGTAGTAGCCGTCATACTCCACCAACAGAGCCGCCTCCTCTGATGCCAGTGCACCATAAACCGCCAGGTCGGGACTCAAAGTGTTCCTGCCCCATGCATCGCTTCGTACGACAGGAAAATCCCGGAAGAGCTCTGCGATCGGCTCCTCCGGCAGCAGAAGTACCGCCAGGTGCGACAGCAGCTCAGCCTCTGCCAGGCTTCCCGGCTTCCTCCGCGGACGCCCGGCCTTCCACCAGCTCGGAGGACTGCGGACTGCACACAAACTGCAGGAAAACAGGACCAACGCCACGAAGCCCGAGAGAAGTGGTGCAAGGGCCCTCCGTGGCTTCCTGATCTCGGGCAGCCTCATTGCTGGAGCCTCAAACTGAAGCAAGCAGCGACAACATGCCTCACCTCAGCACCGGCAGGAAATTAGTGCGTGGCAAGTCCATGCGCATGCTTTCAAAGGCTATCTGGGGTGCTGCTCTGCTGCTCAGTTCAGCGGTGCAGAGTTTGAGGTTTGGGGCGTTGGCCCTAGACACTGCAAAACTGGGTGCGCATCCCAAACCGTGAAACCGTGATTGAAGGCCTTGATGCCGGAAGACTCCAACAACACCTACACTCCGCATGTGCCTCAAATCCGGGAGGGATCCGTCATGTATTGATTTAAGGTGTATATTCCTGAAGTAACGGGTCCTAGAGTCTGTGCGTGCTGATATTCTGATACGATGTTGAACCCACGCAAGTATCCCTGGAGTGCCCATCAACACATCGCAGATATCATCAAGTACAGAGCAGTAGGACCATCAGTTTGTATTCCCTACTAAAGTATGTAATTAAAGCTCTACAGTAGTCTCCACCGGGAGCATACCGGTCAAGCACCATGAAAAATGCAAAAGAAACTCTTGTATCCCCGATAGATCACACACACCCCCTCATTGAGCACTTTACCCCGTATGATAAAAGAGATCCGTTACATTTTCTACATATGCCAAGCAAGGGTCTTTGCAGTCTCAAGGAAGGTCCAAGAGGCTGTAACCCACCAGGTTCATCTTGCGACGGCTTCACACACTCCAAGAGCTGCTGCACGATACCTTGTAGCTTTCAGGGTTTAGGGTTGGGTTTAGGGTTCAAGGTTAAGGATTTAGGGGTCTAGGGTAGCTTTCACGGTTTCAGAGTTTAGGGATTTTGGGGTTAAGGAGTTTAGGAAAGTCTAGGGTTCAAGGTTTATGGATTTGGGGGTTTTGGGTTCTCGGCTTGGGGTTAGGATGTCCGGTTTACGGTTCAGGGTTTTGAGTTCAGGGTCTTGGGGTTAAGGATTTAGGGTTCGCGGCTTTCTTCAGGATCTGGGGTTTCGGGTTAGTTCCACTGGAAGCCTCTACAAGCTTTCACCGTTGGGGTGGATGCTTCAAGCTAGAACAAGTGTCTCATTCCTCTGGCTCCAGAAACAAACGCTTATCTCAATTTTCACTTTGCAGTATGCATCATGCAGGCAATTCAACCCTCGTCCTTCTCCTGACCTTGCAGAACGTCGGCTTCCCACACAAAAAGGAGTCCTTCTTAGAACCCCTTGCGCAGCCCTTACTAGCAAGTATGGGGGCCCCTAAAGGAGCCCTTACGAAAATCTATTAAGAAAAAATCTAAATCCTAAATGCACTGGATTCATCCCCGAAGCCCGAGCTTCAACCTAAGCCCTAAACAGGCATAGGGGTTTCGGGCGTAGGGTTTAAGGTTTCAGGTTTTAGGGTTTGTATGTTCAGGAGTTTAGGGGTCATGGTTTAAGGGTCTGGGCCCTGGGGTCAGGGCTTGGGCTTACACCTACAAGCCCTAAGCTCCCCAAACCCTGCACCCCAACCCTCAAGAACCCGTATGGCACCCTTATAGACTGGTATATAGATTCTAGCAGAGGCCGCTAATCCGTGTAGTTGAGGAATAATCAACACCTTCAACCGTATTCAGATTGCTCTTGCATGTTTAAAGAGAAGGGTTTCGGAGTCTGTGGGTTCAGCGCAGCACTCACTCCAAGCCCTAAACCCTTCAACCTTGAACGAACTTCAAATCCTAAACCCTTCAAGCCTTTAAACGCTTGAAACCCAAACTCCAAACGCAAACCCTAGACCCTTGAACCCTAAACTCTAAACGCAAACCCAGGATTTGAACCACCGAGTTGCCGAGTCCGAAGAGGCAGAAGAACTCGATGAGCATCAGCGGATTCGCCGAGCCTCTGGGTTTCTTAGGGTTCCTTCAATTGAGGGTTTCTTGAAGGGTTCCTTTAAGGGGGTCCTTTTATGAATACATGGTTCTAGACTGGGTTTCCATAAGCTTCTCCGGTTTAGTTAAGGAGCGGGTTTAGTGGGCTGAAAGGTTGGTTCCTTTTCAGGAATGGGTTTCAGGCATGAAGGTTCCCTTTGCTAGGCTTCCCTGGCGGGTTCCTATGGAATCGGAATTGAGGAGATTGTGAACTTTCGGGTTTGGGGCTTGGGCGTTGAAGCTCTGTTTAGGGGATCTGTTGCGGTTTTCACAAGGGTTCCTGAGCTGAGCTGTTCTGAAGTTTCCTTGGGTTCGTCACTGTTGGGGTCCATAGGGTGAGGGGCTTTGGGCTCCATCTTAAAGCCGAGACTCCTGGACTTTCATAGATTGACGAATCCAAAGCATATACACCCTGATAGTATCTCTTCAAGGACCCCTTGAAGGAACCCTATAGTCTAATTTAGGCCCCTATATCATACTCCTTAGACGAATCCAAGCTGCTTGCGGTGGTCCCGGTTTCGTCGAGATCAAACCACCGAGTGAACTCGGAGAGGCAGCTGTTCATGTCCCTCAAAGCAGCTCCTGCTACTTCTGTCTGGTTCTTAGCAAGGGCCATTCTATCCCTACGGGCCCATGCACCCAAATAGGTTCCTTTAAGACTTTAAGGGTTTAAGGGTACCTATAACATAAGGGTACCATAAGGGTTCTAGGGAATGGGTTGTTGTTGAGACTACAAAAGGGGACCTTAAGGGGCTATCATTGGGATCCATTCTCAAAGCAGCTCCTGCCTCTTGCTTGAAGGGTGCCGTTTCGCAACCGGATCTACAATACTAATTAAACCCAAAACTTCCCTAAACCCGAAACCTGACCTAAACCCTGCACCCTAAGCCCTATCTAGAGGTTGGTAGATAGTTCTGTAATTGAAGTCTGGGCTTGCTACATTCGCCGCTTTCCACGCTGGATGTCTTCAGGTATAAACCTACCTGCCTGCCTGCCTGCCGACTGGTACCTCCCTATCCCTATCTACCCACCTACATAAATACATACATACTTTCTTACATACATACTTGCGGACACACGAACATGCATATGTGTTCGTGAGAGAGTGCGGGGACTTTCTCGGCGCCTTTGCCATGTGCATTTGGGATGCAAAGGCTTGAGGTTCAAAGACACCTTACGGAGGAATAGATTTAAATAGCCCGGAGCTTTGTGGCACGGTTGTTGGAGCGCAAAAGCCTCCAACCGCGAACCCCTATAGAGCCTCGTTATGAAGAGACGCCCTATCGAGCTGAGGCTTGTTCAGCTGCTGCACTCCTGTCCACAGCTGCTGACACATCCAGTCCGACCAACTGTCCTGGGCATCCGGTAGAGGCTTCAAACCCAAATTCTACACCTGACCAAGGGCCTAAAGGCGTGTTTTTGGCTACGGGGTCCAGGGCATGCAGTACAGCCTACATTCTCGGCTTCAATAGCGCTTCAATTCAACGCCATTCACCCCAAAGCTTGCTGACCTCTAAACAGACCAGAACCCGACGACCTTCCTGGAAACCTCGTACCCGAAGGCTCAAGAAAGGGCTACACGTAGGGTAGATTCCCCTTACGAATTAGTTGTCAATGAGCCCTTAACCGTAACCACACTCCAAGTCAAGACCCTTGGCGTTACACAAAACACACACGCCGGACCCTCAAATTCTAAACAACTCTAAATGCACCTGACCCCGGAAACCTCAACCCTAAGACCCTATGCCCCAGCCCGGAACCGACCAAACCCTTTCACACCAAGTAGATCATGGAGACACAATCCTGCAGCCCGAAATCACCGAAACCCCACTGACGATGAAAACCTAGCCCGAAACCCTCAGGACCTCCAAAACCCAAGTAAGGCCTACATTGGTCGCCAAGGGACTCGCCCCAACTGCTCCCCAAGCTCGAAGTTTAGCAGCAGCCGCATGCTGACCTTCAGGCTTCCCGAGTTCTCCCGGCATGTTGGCTTGGGCTTTGGACTCCTTTGGACTTCGAGATCAACTTATTCTGTGGCGGGCGAGAGTTTTGATAGTTTTACCGAGCCGCTTTGCCGTGGGTGTGGGATGCTTCAATGAATGTAGACCTCGAAGCTTTCGATGCTAGGCATAGGCATACTGGTCCCTTAACCGTAGTCCCTAAACCATCACCCCTAAACCCTGCAACCCGAAGCCCTTAACCCCAATTTCTCAGCCGAGACTGCAACCCTGAGGCCTCAAATCTGCCCCTGACGCTTCAATCCCGGGGTCTTCCGGGTGATGCATAAACTGACTTAGAAACCTTGGTCCTAGAACCCCCCCCCCCCGCAATACTGGGATCTAACTTTCGCACCCAATTTTGGACCCAAGGCTTCAGGTCTGGCTTTGATCAAACGCCAACAGCTACGGTCAGGTTCAATCAAACTAGAGAGCCCCATTCCACGAACACCTCAAGGAAGAGCACCACGAAGAGGACGAAGCGAAACCAACCTGGGTGCGCAGGGGTCCAGCTTGTGCTTCGAGATTTACAACGCTGTTAGAAGGACTTTATAGAACGTTGCCAGCTTTGAAGATGTTAACCCCGGAACTTCGAAACCCCTAGTGTAGAAGCCCTAGCAAGTAGACCAGGGCTCGGGCTTCGAAGCAGATACAAACACATTGTCGTCGAGGAAATGCCATTCCCAACTGTTCGGACGTCTATCCTGCTGACCTGGCACTGGCACCTCTTCCGGTGGCGGCCTTCCACCATGAAGGTACTGATCCCAAGAAACTCAAGTCCCACAAGATTCAAGAACCTTGTAGTTCACAGTAGACCAGTACTTGCTTGCATAATGACAAATGGCTACATTGACTACATGCATACATACATACCTACACGCGTGCTTATATACGCGTATACATGTATGCACACACCCAGCGCCACATGAAACCCATAAATAAAACTCTTCAGCCCACACCGTCACAAAAGTGCAGCTCAGGCACGCAGCCACCTCAGCAAAAGGTACAAAGTGCATTGACTGGAGCTCGGTGGAAGACATGTTCGGGGCAGGTTGCGTCCAGAGTGCGAGACACGACTTTAGAGTTTAGGCACGAGAGCAAAAGTTGCACTCTAATCATGCAA